AATATTCAAATAAAACTGGAAAATACTGAGCTTTGTTTACATACATAAACTATTTAACACATCACATGGAAGAAGCAAACAATGCATGGTGATTTCAGACTTGGCTGATTCACATCCCAGTTGTATTATTGTATGCTAGCATATTCTTATTCTCTTGTTTGTGTGCTGTGTCATTTTCTCAGGACCCCAAAATGCCAAGAGAGGTTCCAGGGCGTGTGTGTGTGCACACATGTGTGTGTGCACAAGTGTGTGTGCACGCTTTTGATACAACTGAGTACTTCTCCTTTTAAGAGCAATTCAATTTTCTCTGGAGTTCCTCAGTAAACTGTTAAGTTGTATTGGCTAAAATTCTCCCTCATGCCTATTCCTAAATCAGCCCACTTAGAAGTAATTGGATTGACTTCAAGAGATCAGGATTGACCCAGTGAAGCTCAGGAGAGGGCCTGAAGCCTCCCTGCTGAAGCCTCCCTGCTCTGGGGGCACTTCCTCTAGAGAGAAAGACTCAGGGGAGGAACTGTGTGTGTGTGTGTGTGTGTGTGTGTGTGTGTGTGTGTTTTCTAGGGCTTCAGGAGCAGATGAACACCAGAGCTTGGCAACAGTTGTACCTGCCACCCCTGGGGGAAAATAAAGGACAACTCGTTTTTTTAATGAACTTGTCATTTCACTTTTCTTGCTAGAAGGTTACACTTTCCAAGTGTTAGTAGCTGAGCCCAAAGGCAAAGTTAGCCCTCAAGTTTTCCCAGCAGCTGTAATATGCTAACATTGCTGGTGACCCTCCAAGAGAGGGATAAACCTGTAACATTTCACAAATCATAAAATAATCCACTCTTGAAAATAATTTTTCAAGGCATTTTTTTCCCCAGGATGAATGTCTTTATGAGTGCAGTTTAGAAACTATTGTACTGAATTATTAGCCTGAACCCATTGCAAAGTATGTATTTTATAATGGTCATAATGCCTTCAAGATCTCCATTTTCAAGTACTCTAAAAATAAGAGAAATTTGTGAAGTAGCAGGTTATAAAATTAATGTTAGAAAATGAATTGCCTTATAAAATACATCTAATAAAATGTTAATGGAAGAATCTAGTGTTGGGTTCACTGTAAAGTTCTTTCTGCTTTGCTCTATTTTTAAATTTTTTCAAGTTGAAAAATGATTAAAAGCCTCAACAACCAAAACCCAGCAGAAAGATATAAAGCCAAAAAAAACCCCACATTTGTAATAGTAAAACCTATGTAAGAAAAACCTTAAAACACAATTGATAGAAGCAAAAACACACTTGAGCAACTGGAAAAAAATCAGATAGGAAAACTCACCTTCATAAAGTCTTCAATTCTGGCTAAGTTTATTGAGAAATGTGACATAAACACCCCCAAAAGTATCATCAACTGGATTTCTCAATTAATAAAGTTCATTTGAGTAAAGAAACAAAAATAACCAGTCAATTTGGAAAAAAAAATTCTGGAGTGAAGGAAATAACCTTATCAGTTATTAAAATATGCTATAAAGCTCTAGTGTTGGTGCATGAATAGACAAACCAAACAATGGAATCATTTTGAAGTGCAAAATTATATTTAATTTCATATGGAAATTAACTATGTAATAAAGGTATCACTTCACATCAGTAACAAAAGGCGAGCTGGTTTATGTTGTGATAAAAGCACTATATGGAAAAATAGATAAAATACTGATTTGTTCCTCACACATACCAGAATATATCCCAGGTGGATCAAATACCTAACTTTAAGAAATAAAATTGCTCAAGTAGTAGAAGAAAACATAGATGGAATGATATTCTGCACTCTGAGAGGAGAACCATTTTTCTAAGCATGATTCAAACTCCAGAAGCAGCAGCCAAAAAATATAAATTGATAAAAATTCTTTTACAAAAATTATTTCATGAAGTGGATTTGGAAGCATCAGCACCTGTAGAAAGCAAAGGGGAAAAGACAAATTGGGAAACATTTGCAACTTAATCTCAAGAGTTACTCTTTCTAATTGATAAAGTTAATAATGGAGAAGCACATGTCCAACTTTTTCTAAAAATTGACTAGGGGGTTTCCCTGGTGGCACAAGGGGTTAAGACGCAAACACTGTGAAGTTTTCTGCAGCCTCTGTAGCACGGGTTCGATCCTGGCCGGCTAGCGAGAATCCCACATGGCGCAGCAGACCTCTCATGTCTCCCCGCTGCTCCCCTCAGCAGTGTGTTTCAGTTACTCTGCCTGTTCTGTTCCCCACTCTGTCTCTGGTGAGTCCTCTCACCCCCCACACCTTGGCCTGTACCCCAGTTCTTGTATGCATAAATAAATCTTTCAAATAAAAATAAAAATTGACTAGAGTATAACATTTGCAGAAAAAGAAATACAATGACCCTTAACCATATGCCTCCCTTATAAGTAAAAAAAAAAAATGTAAATAAAAAACTCAGCGGCGGTTCCCACTTTGAGCATACATCGTGGGCCAGGCGAACAGGCTCATCATTGGCAGGTGGGAGAACAGACAGGCGCCACCACTAGGGGGGTGTGCCGGGATCAAGCCAACCTACCTATGGTTGGACCCTCTAACAAAGCAACCCACTTCTCAATTCATGTCACCAAAATACTCAAGACAAAAATGGCAAAACCATACCTTTTCGATGTTTGTTAGATCTGATGGCTAACAAATGACTCTGACCTGAACGTGCACGGCATCAAGCAAGTGAGCCATCACGATGATGTTATTAAGAATCAGGACTTTGTTCTTGAAAGGAGGTAGAATTAGGAGGTAAGAGGGTGGAGGTTAAGTACAGATCCTACAGTGTGAGTTTGAATTGGATGTAGCAGTATGAATCCGTGATGAATTTTATCTTTTTCAAATACAGATCCTACTCTTCACTCCAAGAAAAGGCACGGTCGGGACCCCCAGCAGGAAACTGTAGGCTTCGCTGGAATTTAAATGAGATACGTAAAATAGGAAGCATCTGCTGTAGGAGATGGCAGGGTGTACTTTGGAGAGGGAAAAAAATGCAATTTCAAGTCAGTTTGGGAAGTTCTAGATTTCTTTCTTGGAGATTATAACATTACGTGTTCTCAGAAACTCTCTCAATAAAGAAATCTAAAACTGTCTGCCCCTGGGACTCTCAGGACCCCTGTTTGGGGAAGGGTTGGGGACTGTAGAATTCCCGTTGTTTCTTCACACAAATGTGCCAAGAAAACAATTTGTACAATGTTGCTGTGAATGTGACATGCAGTCTGTGGATCATCCGTGCAGAAGGACAAGAGGTCTAAAGACAGTGCTGCCTTTAATACACGGCTGCTCAGAATCTACTAGCACCTACACTGCCGCATTCTGTGCTGCAGATAAAAGACAGAAGTGAAAAAATAAGAGAGTGCATGAAAATATAGAGCCATGGCTAATTTTATAATATGGATTTTAAATATTTTATGAAAGTCTTAGAGTGTGATTGAGGGGCTTCGTGTCAGGCTACCGTTGAATTGGGAGCTTCATGGAGAGAGAATTAAGCTTCGATGGCTGGAAGCAAGAAGGGAGAACCTTCCTGGCTAGAGAAAGAATGTCAGTAAAGATAGCTTAATATGCAAGTCTGTGCCATATTCAGGGGGAATTAGTTCTGTCAGGAACAGATAATGCAGGGCAAGGGAGGGCGAGGCCCGTGGGCTCCTGGGCAGAGGGAGGGTGCGGGCCTGTGGTCTGCCAAGCCTGCACTGTCATCTTTGCTCTACCTGTAAGTAACCTTGGGAAGGTGATTCAGTCTCTGGAAGGCTCAGCTTTCTCCTCTCTATAATGAGGATAAATACTATTTGCCTCACAAAGTGAGGATGGAATAAAAATAAAGTAGGCAAAGCTTCCAACATGGTGGCGGACACTTCATCACTGTCAGCTCTGGTTGCTGTTGGGCAGATGGGGGCAAAATGATGAACACCCTCAGTCGTCAGGGAGAGGGATTCGGGTTTTATGGGGTTGGCACGGGGAGCCATCGAAGTGTTCTGAGCACGGGGTGGGGGAAGCCATTAGCCCCCTAGCTTGGAAAGATGAAGGTGAAAGCAAGAATAGATAGCAGGAGACAGCCAGCCCGCAGCCGCGGGGCGACGAGAGGGACCTCACAGCACGCTGGCAGAGTGGCTGCAGCTGATGGGTGTTTTAGAGGCCGAGTCTCTAGAGCTTAGATACGTGCACGTGAGCATCAGGAAAGAGGAAGGAAGAATAAAAAAATGACTCCAGGGTTTCCCTTGACACCTGCGTTTCTGGTAATAGCAACAATTGAGAGGAGCCACCCAGGAGGTGGAGAAGGCCGGGAGAAGGTAACCAGGCTGGCATGGAATTTAGCTTGTTATTTATCATGGGCCTTTTGAACCTTTGGTCCTTTCTAGAGTGAGCATGCTTTGAATGCTTGACCGTGCTCCCAGCCTCTAATCTCAGTGATCCCTCCATTCTGCGATACCGCTCTGGGTTCTTATAAAAGCTGTCACTGTGTTCTCCGAATGTGCTGCTTCAAAAGTTTGTCTAGGCCATTGGAAAGGTTAGTGTAATATTTTCCAAAGTCAAATGCCAAGCACTATCAAACCAGCCTAACAAGGAGTCAAACGCGGGTGAGTGGCCTGTGCAATGAGACTTCTCAAAACAGAGTTTTGGCTTTTTTTTTTTTTTAAGATTTATGTATTTATGCATACAAGAGCTGGGGTGCAGGCTAGAGGTGCAGGGGGTGAGAGGATCACTAGAGACAGAGTGGGGAGCAGAACAGGCAGATCCACTGAAATACACTGTGAGGGGAGCAGCAGGTGAGACAGGAGAGGTCTGCTGCGCCGTGTGTGCTGCACCTGCCCGGGGATGGAACTCGGGCTGCAGTGGCTTCCCATAGCTTCATAGTGCTGAGACTTAACCCCTTGCACCTCCAAGGAGGCCCCAAACAGTGTGTTCTTCTTTAAGCAGAGTTGAAAGTAACTGCTCATGTGGACGTTCTACTCAACTCCAATCTTTGTGTGTATTTCTTGTTTTAATGTGCAGGACAGGAGAGAATTGGGAAAGATTCCAACTATGAGCAGGAGGGTAAAGTTCAGTTCGTGATCGATGCGGTCTACGCAATGGCTCACGCCCTTCACCACATGAACAAGGACCTCTGTGCTGACTACCGAGGCGTCTGTCCAGAGATGGAGCAGGCCGGGGGCAAGAAGTTGCTGAAGTACATCCGCAATGTCAACTTCAACGGTGAGTCTCCAACGTAAATAGCCACGCTTTTTGGAGCCCCGCATGCTGGTGGGCTGTGTCCTGTGAGGTCCATGCTTGGATTGCTAAATCCTCTTGCGTATGTGTCAACATCTGTCTGATTGTATAATTTCAAGTGATTGAATCGATATTTAAGTGAGCACGTGGTGAGTGAATGAAGGACCAACTGAATGAACAAACAGATATTTGGGGGTTATGGTTTGCCCCCTTTTCATAAAATAGAGAAGGTTTTGCACAAATCTAAATTCATGCTGGGTGGACACAAGTCAGAAATAAAAAGGGGACGAAGAAAGGAAGGGACAGGTGCTCTAGGTACCCAAGCTAATTGAGGTAATTATTGTTGCCTTCCACACCAGCCATACCTCACATTAAAAAAATAATTATCTCAGGGCATTAAACTCAGTTAGAAATTAAATGGTTACATAAAAAAGAGATGGGTGGGGACAAAGGTAAAGCAGGCAGAAGGCCTGAAGGAATAACACCACTTCTCTGCTAATGCCTGTTATCATTTTAGGAAAGTCTTTATGCCTAAAACATCTTCATCTTCACGCTACACACACCAACAACTAAATATATAATTATAATAAATCTGTATGTGGGTTCTATTAACCGGGGTTCTCTAGAGAAACAGAACAGACAGGTTACCTGTAGAGATGTGTGAGGAGTGTAGATCCATGAGGAAGTTTATTTTGGAGTTGGCTCACAGTTTCGGAGGCTGGAAGGTCTCCACAGTCTGCCATCTCTACGCTGGAGAAGCAGCAAAGCGGTATGTCAGTCAGTCCTCGGCCTCGGAATCAGAGGGCTGGGCATGTGAGCTCCCCTCTGTGTCTGAGCTGAGAACTGGAAGCAGTTGTCTCTGACGGAGGAAGATGGATGTCTCAGCTGAAGCAGGAGAGTGCATTCACCCTTTCTCTGCCATTGGGTTCTCTCAGGCCCTCAAGGGACTGGCTGGTGCCTCCCCAACTTGGGAGAAACATCTGCTTTCTCCCAAGATTCAAATGCAGATGTATTCCAGAAACACCCTCACAGACACACCCGGACATGATGTTTACCAGCTCTCTGAGCATCTCGTGGAACAGTCTAGTTGACTCATAAAATTGGCCATCACATGGAATCACACAAATTCAGTGCAGACAGTAATAAATAAACACAACTACTGCAAATAAGTAATAGATCCACACTGAAGAGACAGAAGGAGAAAAAACTGAATGGAAGTAATTCTGGAAAACAGTATTTGACTACATGCTTTTAGAATAAAAACAAAAATAACTATGCACAGGTATTCTATAACAAGGAATAAATTTGTGTTTGTTCTCAATTAATAAGACGTTTTGTTTATGGACATAAGAGTACTGATAGAATAGCTAGGTGTATTGTGGGTGATGAGAGCCAAGTTTCTCACTGATAGAAAAATAAATTACTCTTGGCCCTTGAAGTACTCTGGGCTTGGGGGCACTGATCTCTGTGTCATCAAAATCTGCTTATACCTTTGGACTCCCTGAAAACTTCCCTATAGTCATCCCTTGTATCCCCAGGGATTGGTTTCAGGAACCCCTGCTGATACCAAAATCCAAGGATGCTCAATTCCTTTGCAGTTTCTATCCATATCTGCAGGTTCTGCATCCTTGAATCTAGTCAACTGATACCCCAAGCCAGTTTTTCTACCTACAATAGAAAACACCTGCATATAAGTCAGCCGGTTCAGTTCAAACCCATGTTGTTCAAGAGTCAACTAGGAACTAGTACTAGGAACTAGTAACGATGAGAGAAAGCTAAAATAAAAATGTTGGGTTGGTTTAAAATAGAGGGTGGCACCATGAACTCATGGCTTTTAATATACAGACACCTGGCAGGTGTAGAAGGAGCTTGTGTAGTTGGGCACATGTGCACACACCTCCCCTGCTTAGCTCTATCCAATGAGAGCCTGGAAGCAGCGACACCTGGGTGGAGATGGTGATATCTAGCACTGCTCTTACTTGTGTAAGAACCAGGGCTCCCTAGAGAAAGTGCTGATTCCAGAGCCAGATCGGGGAACGTGTAGGATGAGCTGGAAACATCACACGGTACCAAAAAGTAAGCAATTGCTCAAGACGGCCCTGTCAAATGGGCATGGCACCAACTTTAGGGACATCTCTCTGGCCCATCTGGGACACAAGTGGATTCACTTCGTAGAACAAAATCCATCCTGGTACAAATGCATGGTTCAGTTGAATAAATAACTCAGAAGCAGCAGCGTGATTGAATAATGGAAGGATGGAAGAACAAGCCACTGTTTTGCCAAGACCTCAGAAATATTTGTTTCAGGCAGGACTCGGAGATGGAGGCTGAAATTCTTAGGCTAAGTATGATAAGAAACAAGTTATTTGCATGGTCTCAAAGTATCTTCCATCAAGAAAATATTAGTAGCAAAGGGGAAACAGTCGCTCTGTGGAGAAGACCAGAGCCAGCTCCAAGGCTAACACCCCTGGTAATGAGACTTGTCAACCTCATGAGCCTCTTGAGAAGACACCTGAGAAGCTTCCAGACCATGGCTGAGATTTAGTAGCCAAACACATAACCTCATTCTGATCATAAAGAGACATAAGACAAGTCCATATGGAAGGGCATTTTGCAAAATAACTGGCTAGTTCTATTCAAAAGCATTCAGGTCATGAAAAAGACAGATGGAGAAGCTATTACGGACTGGGAAAAACTAGGGAGACCTTACTATTAAACACAGTGTGGGCTCCGTGATTGACCCTGCACAGGAAGGAGACATTAATGGGACTACAGAGGAGTTTTAATAAAACTCTGACACTAACTAGCATCATATCAATATTAATCATCTGACTTAGGTAATTATATTATAGCTAAACAATCTTCTGGTTTCTCTGCTTGCAAATAACAATCCACTTAACCCCACCGTATTGTATCAATCTTCCAGAAATCACCTAGTATTTGAATCAGTAGGATCAGCGATCTCTTAGTTAAGATGGAGGGAAAAACAACTATATAAAACCAGGAAGGAGCTCGACTACAAGCTATCTTCTTTCATGGTTTCTTCTCTCCCAGGATCTACTAGAATATGTGACGCATTTTCCCAGAACCAAACACACACAGAATTGATCATCGATCAAACACTAAATGACACATGCCGGGTCAGTTTCTGGCTTTTGTTTTCCCGCCCATGGAGACAGGTGACGGTTCTTACATGAGGGATAAAGAATTCACCTTGAGGATGCCCTTGGAGAGTCTCCCCTGATCCTCATTCAGAGAATGCCCAGAGACTCTTCATCAAGAAGGTCTTGCCCGCCGATAGGTCACTGTGTCTGAGTTCTGGCAGGAGACAGAGCTTGTGTTTATCCAGAGATTCCTGCGTACCCGAAACTGTGCCACGCACCAGGCGTGCTGGCTTATTTAATATTCAGAACACCCCCCTGGCTTCAATACTATTGTTTTCCCTTTTTTAGTTATTTATGCATATTAGAACTGGCGTGTAGGGCAGAGGTGTGGGGGGTGAGAGGACTCATCAGAGACAGGGTGGGGAGCAGAACAGGTGGATCCACTGAGATCCACTGCTGAGGGGAGCAGCGGGGAGCCAGGAGAGGTCTGCTGCACTGTGTGGATTCGCTCCCTGGCAGGAGCAGGCGGGAAGGGAAGATCAAACTCAGGCCATAGTAGCTGACCCTAGCTTGATAGCGCTGAGACTCAACCCCTGCGCCGCCAGAGAAGCTCTGTTTTCCTTTTTTTAAAAGATGAGGAATCTGATTTTCAAGGGGAGTGAAGAATCAGACAACCAAGTCGCGTAGCCAGGCAGTGATGCTGTGTGCTGGGTCCTCCGTGCTCCCCAGAGGCCAGGCCGGGCAGCTGTGCTCGCCTCCCGGGGTGCAGGTTGGGAGGTGGGGGCGACCGGCAGGCCAGCTGTTGCTCTTTGCCTTGCTCGCAGCCCTGCACTGTGGCCACCAGCATCTCCTACTCTTGGATGCATTTTCTGCTTCTGGGCACGGGCACGCTCCTGCTGGGGCGCAGTGACACAACCCATGTTGGGGGGCCTTGACATGTTCTCAAAGAGGGAACCTTACTGGACTCAGCGAGTGGGCGCCTTGCCAACTGAAGTGACCAGAGGGGAGAGGAGCTTTTTACTCATTCTCTATCCCAATTTTTAGGCAAAGAAATCAGTCCCTAGAAAGGAGTAAATATTTGCCCACGCCCTCTCAGCGAGCAGACGGCGGAAGTCAAGTCTCTTTGCTGGTCGACTGTGAGCAACTCAGCCTTTCTTTTGCATATTTCAGGAGGATTTTGCTTCTTTTCTTTGTCTCAATACACTTAATTATACTCTTCTGTTACTTGAGTGCAAAATTTTCTACACCCCTGGGAGTTTTGTTCCAGACCAGTAGTGCGCAATTTAGGAGCTCTGACTCCACATTTTCCAAAGCATCAATTTAGGGAACGATAATAGAATGCCCCGAAAGCACCGCCGCCACCTCGCCAAGACGCAGCCTCCCCGGAGGCCCTGGGAGAAAAGGCGGTCGTCCTGCCTCCATCACGTCCCAGCCATTTTCCCCTGCAAGAGTGCATCGTGCCGTGACTGAGCCCGCGTGTGTCTTTGTTCTCTCCGTGGCAGTGAGTCCAGCCACGTGTCAGTGCTTGCAGATGTCACAAAAGCGCTGTCTCGGCTACATCACCGCCGAGCGCCGCTGTGTAAGGAGGTGTTTGGCGTGGCGCGTGTCTGCTTCGAGGATCACTAGTTTCCAGAAGACCGATTGGGCTGATTGGTCATAGACTTTATGAAGATGGCGCGTCTCCACTGCCCTTCTTGAAACACGAAGTTAGCTCCTTCATTCCCGGGCAGCTGACTGACCCGGGACCTCTCTGGCATTGACACGATGTGACTTTTAAGGCCTCCCGGGTAGTAGGGCTGCTGCCTGGTTCTCTTGGGTCATTTGCAGGAGTGACTCAGCTCTCCTGGTGGGAGGAAGTTGAATGAGTATGAAGCCAAGTGGACTGGTCACTTGACGTGTGGGTGTTCCTGCCTCCACCCAGGTGAAGACCCAGGGACGGCCGGGGCTGCTGACAGACAAGGGCCTTCAAGCAGCCCCGCTGGGAGCCAGGAGCCGCCCCTGCCGAGCAATGCCAGTTGGTGAGATGCAGCTGTCACTGCTTCGAGCGCTAAGTTGCCAGGATTCTTTGAGCAGCAAAGATGACTGGAACCACCGTCAACATAGCGTTTCTGGAAACTGCACCAGGAGGGGATGAAATGGGAAGAAAAAATGCTGGGGTGAAATCTTTGAGGTCGAGACTGTTTTTCTGGGCCATGTAGCTCCCAGATCCCCCTGTGTCCAGAGAGAGGGGCATTTCCCAGGAGACTCGCAGCTGGTAGAGGAGACTTCAGGGGGAGGTGTGCTCGGTCCTCGCCCCCCAACCCCCTCCGAATTCCAGGTACCTGTGCACCTGCCTCCCAGCTCTGGCACCTGTGGACATTTCTGCAGGTGATGGCTGCTCCTTTGATGATGCTGTCCCCTTCTCTAGACGCCTTTGCACTTGTAGTTTTTAATGTAGAGTTCATTGAATGCAAAATTCTGCTTTATCTTTCAACAGTTTCAGAGCTGCTGCTAAAAAGCAGCTGTGGGGAAAAAAATTGGCAAGAACTCAGGTGCATTATCGAATCCAGCAGAAGGTCAACACTCCACGCTGCGGTGTTACAAGTCATCACTTAGAGAAAGTGTTCAGCTCTTCTGCCTTCATTTATTTTTTTAAGCGTGAACTTTAACGAGAATGGAAAGGGCATGACAGGAATCATTTCTCTTAACGGAGATGCTAAAGAGGGAAAAGGATCAGGCGGCGTGCTCCATGCTGGTCAATATCAAGAGGGTCAGCTCGAGACCCCTGGCGCCCCAGACCCCCCACGTCCTGCCTCTGCCCTCTCAGGACAGTGGAGCGTCCGGCCGTGCTGTGCCTTGCATGGAAGCTGCGGAGTAACGGCCCAGCCGAGGCCTGCACCAATGTGAAAGGAAAGAGCTAAGTCTCAAGTAATAATGTCTTCCTGCGAAACGATACAATTCTTATTTTCTGCCGAATGGGTAAAATCCAGACTTCATTTCTTCTCCTTAAAGGCTTGGGAGGCTGGCTGGGGCGAAATCAGTGTTAAGGCGCGTGCTGCTGCTCGTGGGCATCTCCTCCCCCAGCCTGGAGAGCCTTGTGCTGGGCCGCTACCCGGGGCCCTGCTGGGAATGCTGCCGGCCTGCTGAGGCCTGGACGACACCCAAGAGGGCCTGAGAGGAGTCCTGGGCCGCTGGCTCAAGATGGTGGACCCCCGGCGGCTCCTCCCCCGGCCAGGGCCCACTCCCAGCGTGGACGCATCCTGCGTTTTGGAAAATAAAACGTATTTACACTGATGGGAAAATTTAAATTAGATACCAATTGGGAGAGATGTGTTGCTGTGCCAGCAAAGAGGTTAATCCTGCCCTTTGAAGGCTCATGTTCTGATCTTGCGATAATCAACAAATAAAGGACGGTAAAAATAAGTCCAGAAAGGGCCTCCCTGGTGGCACAGGGGTTAAAGACACAGTGTTTTCAAGCTACTGCCAGCCACTGCAGCACGAGTTCGATCCCCAGCTCGGCTAGGGAGCTACCCACATGGCGCAGCAGACCTCTCCTGTCCCCCTGGTGTTCCCCTCAGCAGTGGATTTCAGTGGATCTGCCTGTTCTGCTCCCCACTCTGTCTCTGGTGAATCCTCACCACCCCCACCTCTGGCCTGCACCCCAGTTCTTGTATGCATGAATACATAAATCTTTAAAAAAAATAAGTCCATAAAATCAACACACTATTTTACACTCTACTGTTTTGTTTTGCCAATTGTTCCATATGGTTAATATGAAGGGATGTTTGATTCATATTCAATTTTCAATGGACATACACACTCACATTATACATGTAAGCTTTTTACACGTACACACATGTGTACCCGATAATGTATTTAGTCTTTTAAAATCGGCTTTATTGTCTAATTATGCCAAAATAATTGATTTCCCTTTAAGGTGGAAGTTTAAAGAAGTAAGACCCAAATGGGAGCTTGAGAAAGAAATCAATATTTATTAAACACTCATCGGGCATACCGCTAAGCATTTTAGACTGATTATCCCATAAAGTAAATTAGGAATAATCAGCAAAAAAAAAAAAAAAAGTATCTGCAAATCGGTATCCATTATATATTTCAGTAAACTTTTTCCCTTGTTTGCTTGTGTATTTTTCAACTCTCTGACATGAGCTGTTTAAAATATGTCTATTATTTCATATATATATTAAGATTTATGTTTTATTTATATAAGCACTGGGGTACAGGCCAGAGGCATGGGAGGGTGAAAGAATTCACCAGAGACAGATTGGGGAGTAGAACAGGTGGAGTTACTGAAAGGCACTGCTGAGGGGAGCAGCAGGGGAGACAGGAGAGGTCTGCTGCGCCATGTGGGATCTCCCTGGCCGGCCGGGAATCGAACCGGCGCTGCAGAGGCTGCGGACAGCTTCACAGCGCTGCGTTCAACACACTGTGCCACCGGGGAGGTGCTAAATGTGTCTATTATTTTATAAATGGCACTTTACTGGCCATAATTTAGTTGAGTAGAAACATCATCATCATCATCATCATCATCACTAAATGGAAAGTTGTCTCTGGAAAATAACCCATTCAATGTTTATTCCTCACAAGAGTGAAATGATGAGAGTGAAATATCAGGAGAAGCTGAGGGGCCAGTTTGCCTTCCCTGCGCCTGTAATCGGTGCCCCCAGGCCACAGCCATGAGTTGCCTGTGAGTTTCAGGGTCACTTTGGGGGAGCCCACTGGCTTAGCTGCTTGTTCCCTCCCACCCCCAGCAGGGCTGCAGGCCCCCGCCCTGGCACTCGAGGAAAGAGTCTTGTTTACACCATGGTCTTCTTGCTCCTCAGGCAGCGCGGGCACCCCGGTGATGTTCAACAAGAACGGGGACGCCCCCGGGCGTTACGACATCTTTCAGTACCAGACCACGAACACCAGCAACCCCGGCTACCGGCTGATCGGACAGTGGACGGACGAGCTTCAGCTTAACGTGAGTCAGACGCGTGCCTCCTCCCTGGCGCGGGCGGGCACAGGGCCGGCCTGCTTCTGCTGGTGTTTGCACGAGCCAGCGGGAACGTGCCACTCGTTACCCACATCAGCGGGTTGATGGTGAGCCGTGAGGTAACACGGGCAGTGGCTGATGCTGACGATGGCGGGGGTGGTGACAGGACACGTGGTTGCGCTGGCACCGCCCGCTGTTCTCAGCGCTGTGTGACTGAGCTTACTTAATCTGAGGTTGGATTTGCTTACCCAGCTCATCCTTCACCAGATCTCTCTCTTTGTCGGATGTTTCTGCCTCGTCTCCTACTTTCTCCCTGCTTTCTTTGTGGAATTTCATTTTTTTTCCTTGGAATGCATTTTAGTGAGTCACTTTGTACTGAGATTCTCAGAGTAATTGTCGTCTTGGCCACTTCTATAACCTCGCCCGCTTTCTGGAAAATGTGGATAATTATCCACTTCCTTATGCAAGGGGAAGTCAGAGTTCGCCCACCAGAGGCCACGGGAGCTCATCTGTATGCAAACACGGCCACGTTTATGTAACTGGCTGCATGAAGGACAAACCCCTGCCAGCAACACTCGGGAGCTCTCGGGGTGGAGGAGCTAGAATGGGTTTCATTACGAGCCTTGGGCTGAATTGGATGGTTTCGGGAGGTTGTGTCCTCTTAGGGAGCAGCGTCGGTTTGCAGATTGTGTGTCTTGGGGACTTTTATCTGTGAGGCGGGAGGATAAAAGCGAGGGAAGAGTTGTCACTAACGAGGAAACAGGCTCTTACATGAATGGGAATGGGGGAAGTTCACTCATTTTTGTGGCTGCAGAGTGTCCCGGTTGCTGTCTGATGGAAGACGTGGCCGTGGCCGTAGCGTGGTGGGGTTTTGTCTCGCTCCTCCAGAGTCGCAGTGACCTTGTCCGGTTGCGATGCGTGTTCTGCTGGGAATGTGCCCGCCTAGATTTCCGCTGACGGTAGTGCAGCCATTATTTTTTCTTCCTTTGATTTCTTAATATTTTAGCCTCAGCATTTAATACTGTGCTTCTAATAATACTCACAGTGCCCTGTTTGCAACTGTCATTAGTTTAGGTGACTATGCCAGTCTTTCCAGGGAGCGAGGAACACAGGCTGGGTCACCTCTGCCCTGCCGTGCCTGGCACAGAGGAATGCAGCATCCTGTGCTCCCCCACCCCCACCCTGGGAGGGGCTGGCCCCAGCCTGGCAGCCAGGTTTCTGGAGCCTGGGGTGGGAGCAGAAGTTGGAGAAGAGTGGGCGCTGGCAGGACCTCTTCTGAGGAGGTGCGCTGAACAGGGGTCCCTTCAAGAGTTTCTAAGATTGGTCCTTCCCTGTGGCATTGAACTTGGGTACAGCATTCAGCAGGGACTTCATGGTCATGGTCAGGTACATTGGGTGAGAGCTCGAGGGTCCATAAATATACCTTGAGAGCACAGTATATCCAAGCACAGCTTTCTCTGTCCATGGGGGCCTTACATTGCTCTGGCTTCTCCAGACAACAGGGTGGATCATAGCTGGTTAGTTAGAGATCTGGGTAGAGGTGGTGGATGCATAGAGCTATCTATCGCCAGATATCTAGATATGGGTGACAGGTAGTTATGGAGATAGCAAGCTAGCTAACTAGATAGATAGATAGACATACAGATAGAGAGATACATCCATAGGTAGGTAGGTAGATAGCCAGATAGATATAGGTGGTAGGTAGTTATGGAGATAGCAAGCTACCCAGATAGATAGATAGATAGATAGATAGATAGATAGATAGATAGATAGATAGATAGATAGATAGATGATAGGTAGGTAGGTAGGTAGGTAGCAATAATTATTTATCATCAGAAATTATTTTATGGCTTATGAAGGTTGAGAAGACCCAAGATGTGCATCACAAGCCAGAGCCCCAGGGAGCCCCATGGTGTGGGTTCTGTGCTGTGTCTGAAGGCAGGAGCAGACGAAGGTCCCAGCGCAGAGGCGGGCAGGCAGAGGACTTGCCTTTGTTCTCTCAGGCCCCCGGCAGATTGGGTCAGGCTCCCCCCACTGAGGAAACAGCCCCCTCACTCATCCTGCCAGCTCAAATGTCCATTTGTGCAGAAAGACCTCCGCAGACCCAGCCAGGGTAGCCTGTGGCACAGTCAGGATAAAATGAACCATCACAGCCCCCAACCCGGAAAATTCCTTCTAATGTCTCCAAAGCTGGAAATTATGCCTGTCTCTCTGCATGTAGGAGATGCTACATCCCCAAAATCAGTATGGGGAGCAAGGCTTATGGGTAGTGGGGTACAGAATGGGCAGCTTGGGGGTGGTGGGGCTGGGCAGGGGGTTCCAACAGTGGAGGACTGGGCAGAGAGGGGCGCACTGGGGTGGAGCCCTCAGGGACTAGTGTCCTCATCTGCACAGCACCTGGCCCAGCTCTGTCTCCCGAGGCCCAGCATCCCCGGGAGATGACACAGAGGTTGGGCCCAAGGGCATGATGTGCATCCAGGAACGGACAGAGCCGGACGCTGGGAGCCAGCCATGCTGGAGGAAGCCCAGAGCCAGAACCAAGAAGAAGCTAAAATGAACTCGATGCCCTAAACTTGCAAACAAAGGAGGAACAAAAACACCAACCAACCACGAAAACCCAGAAGGCTGTAATCAATAGCAGGGTCAGGGGTCGCGACCTGGCTGACCTCCTCAGGATGCTTTCACCAGTGTGGCCCATGTGATGCCAAGATGCTTTGTGCAGAACCAGCAGCGAGGGCCCAGCTCTGCGGGCGCCTGGGGTGCACAGGGTCACCGCTCGCCCAGGCCAACGAGGGACGTCATCCTGCCGGCACAGACGGACCCCTGGTTTGTGTGGACTGTCCGCATACGCAGGGACTCCAGCCACCCTCACCAGCGTCAGGTGCCGCCTGGGGGTTCTTAAGAACCGGCACGAACATGACTTAATTTTTCTGGATCTGTGGTTTATCTGTCAGGAGAGCTGTGCTGGGTTAGCTACTGGGCGACTTTTGCTTTTGCTTCTTGAGTCTCCTTTGCATGAGCATCGTGAGAAGCAATGGGCAGGCGGTGGAGACCTGAGAGGTTGTCCTGGCACAATGGAGCTCTGGGAACAAGGGGACAGATGTGTAGGCAGACGTGCCCGAGTGTGAGGAGCCCTGGAGCAGGCCGCGAGAACATCAGCCGGTCAGGGCCGCAGGCAGCGGGCAGCCTGGGAGCGCACCGTCCCCGGGGGCTGGGGGCACTGTTAAGCTTACTCCGAGCGTGTTGAGTATTAAGCGAGGGGGTGACTGGACAAGTGTCAGAGTTAAAACTGCTTCTCCTGCTGTGCTGGGGGTGTTGAGTCAAAGGGCAGGAGAGGGGACGCCAGGGTAAGTCGAGGCTGGGGCGCGGGAGTCCTGGGTGGGGGCTGCTCCCGTTTGCTCTGGACCTCGGGGGACACTAGGCCGGGGCCACTTGCTTGCCCTGGTAGGGGCAGGACATGTTCAGCATCTACTTGGTCACCCCGGAGAGGCCTGTTGTGGAGAACAGACGGGAGCTCTGCGTCCTGTGGTGGCCAGTGGCTGGGCTCGGTGCTCTGCACCCACGGTGTGAGGTGAGCCAGGCCCAGCACCCTCTCCAGAGGCTGAGGCTGGTTTATTTCCACAATAAAAGATAATCAGCTGGCCTGGGAGGCTGCCCTGCTGCTGCCACTCCTATTTATCTACCTTTTAGCCCTTAGGGTGTTGTTAAGTGGAATTTGAATCTGAAAAGGAAAAAAAAGAGATATAAATAGGGTCCCCCAGGGCACCCTGCCTTCCCACCTGGAGACCCCCAGCTCCAGGTGACCGGTCCAGCGCCCCCCAGCCCAGGCTGTTCTGCTGCTCCAGTTATTCCACATCAGTGGAAAGTTCGATTTAGGTCGCTGCGCCCCTGTGAGCTCGCTTCCTGCTCATCAACAGCACACAGCAAAGCATTTCACGGAGCCAGCACCCCTCTTGTCCACAGCCGCTCAGGGGGCCTCTCTGAATTCCCAGCTAGATCATTCCTAGCAAATGAAATTTTCAGAAGAGCTTTCTCTGTGGTTAATACACAGCAAATGAGTTTCCACGCCAAGAAATCAGAGCGTCGGGGCCTCCGAATCCCATGTCGTCCAGATACAGAACCCGCTCTGCCCTGGGCTGTGGCCGCCCCTATGGAGCACAGGTGCTGGGAGGGTGCTAGGAGCATGTCAGCTGCCTCTTCCTGCCTGCATGGCGCTCAGGCCCCGGCTGCTCCTCCTCTCTGGGCTACGAAATAACCAGGGGCTTCCCCACTAAGCCTTGGCTGTATCAGAAGGAATCGGATGAGCACAGCCACGACCTCCCCAGTTGCAAACCCTGCAGAAATGACCCTGGTTCACCCTCTCAGGTGGTTACTCTACTAAGACACCATCCCTGGCTGAGAAGCAGAAGGTAGCCTGGGGTTATCTGCGGCCTGGGGGGGAGGAGCTAGTGGAGGGGCCTATGTGGACATGAGGGCAGCCCTGTTCCCGGAGTTCAGGCTGCACACAGGCTCTGGGTGTGAGGCGTTGCATTCAGGCTCAGATAGAGGCTGATCCAGGGCAAGTGACCAAAAGGTGAATCTGAACTAGACTCTGAAGGACAAGGAGTAGTTCCCCGAGATGGAGGGAGAGAGAAAAGAATGCTTTGGGATGAATAATGAATAATGTAGTGATAACTAAAAATTAGGGGAGGGGACTAGGTCATAAACATGGCAAGACGTGGAATGCAAATGTCTTCAAAATTCAGAATTTGTGTTGCGCAGAAACCTCACGTAGGTGATGAGCATGAGAAGCAGTGATGATTTCCAGAGATCTCGATTCAGGCCCAGCCAATGTCCTGACTCTAGAGAGGGAGAGCAGGGGTGGTGCCAAAGCAAGGCTGTCCAGTCAGGACGAACATGCACTGCCCATCTGGGCCAAAAGACACCCTTCTTGGAAGTGGGTGTGGTTTCGGGAGCCACAGGGGCATTGAGAGGCTGTGGAGCCAGAG